GGAAGGTTACGAAGGGATCGCTGGACCGGCAGAAACTTATAGCAAACCTGGCTGGAACAGAGTTGAATGCTAAGCACGGCCAGTCGGTTACATTTGCTTGCCGCCTGGCTTCTTAATGAAAACCAACGGCATGGAAACGTCAGGTTTGCTTTGCCTTAAAATTGGAGGCACGACTCGCTTAGCACGGGTATTCCCAACGCAAACGGAATGAGGTTCAAATGCACGGCTAATTCGCTATGCTGTTTTACATCTTGCCGACGATCATCCCTCGCATCCCATGCTCGTACGTCCTAAATACATCGACGTAAACGAAAATTTATTTTCGAAAAACGCATTTACGATTAGCATCATCAAAATGACTGAGGATGAATCAAGATTTAATTAATCCTCCGCTTGGACAAGATACGCCTCTATTTTCGTAAGATCTAATTGCATCGATAATTAAAATTATATAAATAGTTTTCTCCAAGGTTCCTTCGGCATCTATTGTCATCTTTAATATAGATGGGAAAAAAAGACGGAAAAAATTCAGTTTGTGTGTCTGATAAACGTTACGATTAGCGCAAACGGGCTGCACTACAAGCGGCCGTAGCTACAAGCAAGCGATAATAACCTTCACGATTGTGATTGTCTACTTCATCGTGACTACTTATAAAGCGATAAAGCATCGCGTCTCGCGAAGAGACCCGTACGCTCGTTTACCTTTTAACGATGGCGAGGAGCACGGATAGCAATAACTCGACGGAAAAGTAACCGGAAGGCCCTCCGCGTTGCTCGTTACGCAGCGTCTACACTTTTACACTCCCCGATACACTCGTCCTTAACTTTTTACTTTCTTCATCGGCCTTTACGGAAAATTAACGACGGCACGGCGCGCAGCGGAGGCGCTCGATTAGAGAGACTGAATATTTATGTTCGCCCTCTTTATGCCCTCCCCATTATCTGTAAGAGAAAGTGTTTATCCGCGCCTGTCTCGGCAAAAACGCGACGTCTAATTATTTCTCATTATTCCCTCATTCATGTCAAACTTTATAGTCAACTTTCACAATCAAACTTTTCCAAATAATCCTATCCTATTTACGGTGACGAAATAAATCAAACGAGATTGACAGAGACGCTCTCGCGTTTGTTGATATCAACTAGCTTGTCAATAGCTGAGCAATAGGAGCCGATAGAAATAAATATGCAGGAACGTTAAAAATTAAACTTACGTAAACTCTTATATTTTTATGGATCACTCAAGAATCACATAGGAGTTACATAAATAAAGGACGGTGTTTTGCGTTTCATTCGAATATTTAACTCTTTCTTCTAAGATATGAAAATAAATAAAAAGAAAAATAAGTTTTAGCTTTCGCTGTTCGACTCCAAACATATTTACGAATTTTTTTTTCATTTTTATTCTTTTTTTGTCTTATTTTCATTTTTCATAAAATATTTATTACATCACCACTCACGAAACTGTATCTATATATAATGTGACATGATGTATATATAACTAAATGACTATGTGGATCAGTCATCCCTATACGTAACGACTATCTCTTGCGTTACAGGCCTCCCAGCGACCTCGGAGTGGTCCATGACGACGTAAAATTCGACGCTGGCGCAGGTGCGTGTCCCACGCGTTATCGACCAGCGATAAACGCCAGACGATACACTGACATGATACGCGAATACCGGGGGTGGCGGTAAGTCGGTCCCCATCGTTGGACAGCACGATCAAAATGAATGTCCACGTCGATAGCGCTCGCGCTACATCCCCCTTGATCTGCCCGCATCTACGACAAATCGCGATGCACTACCCCGAATCTGAATCGACACGATCATATTTTATCCCTTTATCCCTCATGGGGGATGTCAACAAGATATCTCTCTCTCTCTCTCTC